GATGGCCCTTGGGGTCTCTTCCAACTCTATGATTCTATGATTCTAGGAAGAGGCTCTATCCACTTTCTCTGATCTCTGGGCCATTTTCTCAACTTCCATCACAGTTTGTTCTTGCGTGCCTTCAAGTCATTTCCGACTCATGGTGACCTTAAAGTAAACCTATCATGGAGTTTTCTTGACCAGAGTTATTATTGACTGAGAGAGTGTGACTTGCCCAATGTCACCCAGTGGGATTCCGCGGCCAAGCAGGGATTTGAACCCTGGTCTCTAGGGTTGTAGTCCAACGCTCAAAGACAAAGAGTGAGGCTGTCAGACTGCAGTCTGATGCCTCTTCCTTGAAATTCAGCTCTACCCTGACAAGTTTAGATTAATTTAAGATTAAACTGCCTTCAAATCAACTTTGATTTATGGCAACCCTATGAATAAGAGACCTTCAACAGCTGTGCTCAGGTCTTGCAAATTCAGGGCTGTGGCCTCCTTGACCGAGTCTATCCACCTGTAATGGGGTCTTCTTCTTTTCCTACCTAAGTGTGTATCTTCAGGTCCCCTGTTGACTTTTGGCGACCCATGAATTTCCTATGATTTTCTTAGGTAAGGAATATTCAGAGCTGGTTTTGCCAGTTCCTTCCTCTAGCCTACAGCACTTGCTGTTCATTGGCAGTTTCCCATCCAAGTGCCAACCAGGGCTTGGTGTGCTTAGCTTCCACGATCAGACAAAAACTGGTGCCTTTAAAATATATAGACCCCCACGGATAACTACCAAAAAGACCAATGAATGAGCCAGCATGGCGTAGTGATTTGAGCATTGGACTATGACTCTGGAAACCAGGATTCGATTCCCAGCTTGCCCATGAAACCCACTGAGTGACCTTGGGAAAGTCACATGCTCTCAGCCTCAGGGGACGGCAATGGCAAACCTCCTCTGAACAAATCTTGCCAAGAAAACTCCGTGATAGGTTTGCCTTACGGTCGCCGTAAGTCGGAAACGACTTGAAGGCACACAACACACACATGGGTCCTGTCATACTTTGGATATCTCATGAAAAGACATGAGTCGGGGAAAGGATGATCATGCTTTGAAACATAGAAGGCAGTCAGTCAGAAAAGAGGAAGACCACATTACATGTTCAAGTACTGGTTGCCCTGCATTTGCAAGACCTGAGCAGGTCTGTTAGTAACAGGGTCTCGTTCCTAGGGGTCATCATGATTCAAAACCAGCTTGCCAACACACAACCCAAGAGATTGTAGAGAAGGTTATAATACAAGTAAAGCCATCATACACATAGCTCTTTTCATTTTTCTACTCCAGCTAAGGGCAGCTTTGCAGGATGAAAGGTGCAAGGATTATCTAAGCTTGGGAAATCGTCGCTATGTCCCTTCAAGTCCTTTCCGACTTATGGCAACCCCAAGGTGAACCTATCATGGGGTTTTCTTAGCAGAATTTGTTTAAAGGTGGTTTACCTTTGCCTTCCTCTGAGGCTGAGAGAGTGCAACTTACATGGCAGTGCAGGGATTTGAACCCTGGTCTCCCAGTATCTGAGTCCAACACTCAAATCACAACATCATGCTGGCTCTCAAGCTTGGGGAAAAAATCACAGGAAAATGAATGAAGCCCTGTCTCCTCCAGTACCACAGTCCTGATCCACCACACACCAATGACTTTTAATTAACGAGTATTAAATTTAAGAATTTATTTATTTGTCTTGCCTTTTAGGAGCCAGTGTTGTGCAGTGGTTTGGGCATTGACTACGACTCTGGAGACCAGGGTTCGAATCCCAGCTTAGCCATGTAAACCCACTGGGTGACCTTGGACAAGTCACATTCTCTCAG